ATAACAAAGCATTAACCAGGAAACCAATAATCCATCATTGAGGACCGAGCATAATTATGAGGAGTAGTCGGCGCACTGGTTATTCGAAGTAGCATGACAGGAATGGCTGCACCGAGGTTTACTGGTGGTTGTTGGTAGAGCAAGGAAGAGAATGTGAAGGAGACGGTATGTTGAATTGATCGAGAGAGATGTATTAAAGTAACAAAGAAGAATACATAATCGATTAAAGAAAGAGAAATGGACAATTTGGTAAACTAGTACATAATTCTTAATATTATATAAAAAGTTTAATAAATAATTGATATAATTCTAATTAAAATATGATTTTGGATATTTATGTAATTTTTATAGTTTTGGATGGATGTAAGTGCAAACTTATTAAAATAATTTTTTGAGTTTGCAAGAATATATATAAAAAAATTTTCTATTATAATTTCAGTTTCAAATGTAAATTCTGTTACCTTCTCTCCTCAAAAGGTAACAATTTTTGAACTCGGTCATACGATCAAACATGGCTAATTCTTTCTTTTTGTTAATCACATTCATCCTTTTCATTAAAATTCACCATAATCATCATGCATGAACATGATCTTTGTTTGATCTCCATTAAATCGCCATTATCATCATGGTTGAATATGATTTTGATGAGCATGTAGATAACCATCTATATTATCTTCAAACCCATCTTTCTTTTCAGCAACAATATGATGATCATGAACATAACTCTTCATTTCTGATACATTACCATCACCATCTTTGATTGCATCCATTAGATTAATAAACCCCTCTTGTTCATGAATATCATTGTCATTATCTTTATTTTGTTTATGACCATGATCCTTCATCTCTAACAGATGAGCATTGAGATCATCATAGTTATCATTCTTCATATGTTGTTCTTCAACAAGATTCATCCTCTCTAGTACATAAACAACAAGATCCACATTAACTTCATCATTCTTCACATTATGTTCATGGACATGGTTATGGATATCATCACTCATCTCCAATACATCATGAACTTGATCATTCTTTTCTGTATCCTTCATCTCTAATACATGAACACCATCATCTTCTACTTCATATTTCATTTCTGATACATCAACTTCATCATCATGATCAGGAATTTCATCGTTCTTTGGATTCTGGTCATAAACTTGATCTTTCATATGTGATACATGAACCTCATCGCCATAATCTTGATCCTTCGTCTCTAGTACATGAACACCAAGATCCACATTAACTTCATCATTCTTCATATGATGTTCATAGTCATGGATGTCATCCTCCATCTTTAATACATAAACATCAAGAAACTGATCAGACGTCTTTTCATGTTGCTCATTGACAACACCCTTCATCTCAAATGTATTAATATCATTATCATAATCATCTACATCATCCTTCATTTCCATTAGGATTTCATCATCATGATCAGTCTTTACACTCTCATCATGAACTTGACCCCTCGTATGTGATACATGACCCTCATCACCATAATCTTGATCATCCTTCATATTTGATGCATGAATCTGATCATCACCATGAACCTGACCTTTCATCTTCAAAACATGAACTTCATCACCATGATTAGCTATGCCATCATTCTCTGGATGAACATGAGCTTGATCCTTCATCTCTAATGATTGAACATTATGAGGATCTTCATGAACTTAATCTTTAATCTTCATTGCATGGGTCTCATCGCCATGAACTTGACCCTTCATCTCTGATATATGAACCTCATCACCATGAACTCGATCCTTCATCTCTAATACACAAACTTCCATATCATGAGCCTCTAATACCTGAACTTCTTCATAATTCTTTGGATGATGATCATCCACCTTCGGTAAATCAAGAGCAAACTTAAAAGTAAAAGCGGATCCGATAGGAAAAGTCTTGTTAGTATTTATACCCCCTCCTCGTTTGTGATGATAACCAGGATACATACTCTTATCAAACAACACTTTCTCCTTCAACTTCAAACCTGCTTCAGCAGCCAGCGAAATCACATCCCATGTGTGATATGGAGGGTCATCTCGATGCCTTATATGCACCTCACCTCCTTTAGTCAACATCTTGCTTGCACTTCTGAAGTAAGCTCCTACCAACTCCCTATGCATCCTGTCATCACATCACATATGTACAACACAATCATGCACACTAGTACAAACATCAATGCATGCATTGGTACTCTAACAAAGAGGGTAAACATCTTACTGGATCAACTCCAGGTCACTTTCGCGTAAGTAATCATAATGACCCGCATGAGGGAAGTTGAAGATGATGATGTCGAACTTCATTTTCTTGAGAATGGGGTGAGTGTGCATCTTGTAGACATCGACTTCGTACAACAATAAGCAGCCTAATCTCTCCAGTTCTTCAAGGTGTGGTACACCAGTCCAATGCGTTTCAACTAGCCAATCTATGAACAATTTGTAGACTTTGTGTGATGAGTTAGTTAACTAAATCCATAATTTTGAAAAAAAAAGCTATCTAATTTCTTTTATAAAATAATTTTTATATATTAAATATGAAAAATTTTAACTAATTAATCGTACACCACATCGCCTAGACAAACAAAATGTTATTTCATCATCAAAACGTCACATAAATTGATATGATCGAACACAAAAAATTTAAGAGTCATGCTCTAAGATAACATAATAGAAACATGAAAAGCCTGCGAAAAGGAGAAGTCAAGTTTGACTCATTTCATAGATATAAAAAAATATAATTTATTCTTCCGTATATACGCCTACCTTCATCAAGATATGAAGTAGCAACCATGTTTTTAGCAGTGCGAAAGGCTCGAGCTAGACATGCGGAAAATGAGAAATCACCTTCACCCACAAGTAATATCTTCTGGGAACTGTTATAACAATCGATCCATCTTTCTTTTCTGTTTGATGTGTTCATGTCTATTATTTACAAACACGCATTGAAACACACAGTAATTGGGATATGCTTATATAGATGTGTGTGTGGGTGTGTGTGTCCAGGTTGCAGTTAAAGTAAAGGGAGATGTAGCATTCTGAGATACTCTTCATCTTCCCTAAACAAGAGTTACAGGTTAATGCAATGACCAATAAGAAGGCACAACCTGTTACATAATGATGTGATGTGGAAGATGAGATCACACAGCCATTTAAGCCGATCTAATTTAATTTACTTTTATTTAGTCCGACTTGAGAATTGAGATCCATATATAAGAAGGGCATCCCCTGAGTTTTGTATCCTCTAGAATAATCAATATGTGTCATGTCATTATTTGTTCGAAAATCTTCTTGTTCTAGAACCTCCATATATAGTCCATATGATACCTAGAAACAAGAATGGAGGAGGTGGATTCCTAGAAATATTCCAAACAAGATGCCGTAAACAAAAAAAGTTATAGATGTTATAATTTGTTTTTATTCTATAAACCTTTTAAACATATAAAAAAATAATATGTGAAATTGAAAAATAAATAAGAGTCTCAAAAAATCAAATAACCGAAAAAAAAAATACAAAAATCATATAATTTTGTGTCATTGCCCCACCGGCAACTGTGGTCTTCATCTACTGCGCGCTCTCCATTACCATCATCTTCCTTTTCAATAATATAATTATTTTAAGATGATATTATTGATAACATAACAAGAAAATAAACAAATTTGCCAATTTATTTTGTCGTTTATTTAAGTTGGACACCCTTGAGTTTGAATCCTAGATTCACTAATAATTACTGTTTGTTTATAAGCAACTATGCGGCTCTTTATCAAGAAGTTTGGGATGCAGTGGAGCCCAAAAATTCCCAAAACCCAAACGGGGTGAAGAAAGACAAGATGGATCTTGCCCACATCTATCAAGGAATCTCGAAAGACTAGTCAATTGTAGAGAATTACACATCAAAGAAAGCACGAGAAACATTGAAGGTTATGTACATGGGTGCAAACAGGGTAAGGTTGAATTCGAGATCCTAAAGATGAAAGAAACGGAAACCATAGATGATACTCGCTGACATATATGAATGGGCACCGGTTTCAAAAGATGAAACATAGGTCAAAAGATTGATCCATAATGGTATCAAAAATTTTGAGTTTGAGGGAATCTAATTGTAAAATAGTATCATAGTTGACATATTTTATCTAAATTCATTTATTATTGTAATGTATGTACAAATTCCTTTTTTTTTCTACACTTATAAGAGCTATGGTTTGTTTGACATATTTTATCTAAATTTATTTTTTGTTGTAATGTATGTACAAATTTCCTTTTTTTTTTCTATACTTATAAGAGCTATGGTTTGTCTAAAAGAAAAAGCTGAATGTGGTGCTTCAAAAAATTACAGCCAAATCTCATTTGATTTACATGAAGATCGCGATCTTTATAGATTTACGATTGAAATTTTTATTTATAGCAACTATTTTACTAATTTACTTTCCGGTTCAAGATTTTGGAAGTTAAGTTTTATGTGCAAAATCTGAAGATTAATTCATCAAGTTCTTGGAACCTTTTCATTTCACTGATACGTCCATCACTTTCCTAAATCAACTTTCTTAAAAATCAAAGACAATTAGTATAGCTTTCTTTTTCAGTAGTGTAGCACTTTTGTTTAGTATTTATTTTGTGGATGCTAACTTCGATATAAGAAAATTGTTTAGTTTTGCTATTTATAAAAATACAAGATGAATAGTAAAGATGATGACTAAATATTGAATGTTGTATTTCTCATAAAAAATTAGATAACGACATGCTATAGTTTTAAACCTGTAACTTCTTTTAAATTTAAAATATATATTATCTTATCTAACCTAATATATTGTAAAGAAAAAAAAACGGCAGTTAAGAAGAAAGCGACAAAAAGCTGCGACAACCGTGGTTGTGTAAACTGTCATTGGTGTTGTGGCGGGAAGCTATTTTAAGGCAGCCACGTGCAAAGAACAGCCATGGCTGTGCTCCACGTAATCTCCTTTCTTCATCCACTCCCTTCCTTTTTTCAGAAAAAGAAGTTAAGAACTTATTACAAAAAGTTGGAGTTTGGTACAGTCAAACCCTTATACCTAAATTACACAAACGAAATCATCCCCTTTGATTCCTCTGTTTGAATCACGCACAGATTCTCTCTCTGTTTTCTAATCCAGAGTTCTTGATGAACCCCAACCCTTAATCGCACACCCCAGAACAAGACAAAGAGATGAAAACCTGATAATTGCTCGATATTTTAGAGTTCTTGACAAAACCCTCTTCTTAAATCCACACCAACGAAGAAGAAACCCTGTAAATTGGGATTGAATATCTTATGTTTCTAGATTGATTAGAGAATGAAAGTACCAAGAGGGTTTATCGCTAAACTATGGAGCTTCATCTCCTTCCTTCCTTTCTTCCTCCTCCTCCTTTCTCTCGGTCTGCTTAAAGGTATAAAAAAAATCCATTTTAAAGTTTATGGGTGAAAAGTTTCACAATCACCACTTAAGAAATCGACAATCTTTTGAGTTTCAGGGGTGATAATTGGCTCAATTGTGGTAGTGATAATGGTGGTCGGAAATTCGTCGGTTGCTATCGGACTTTGGCCGGCGCATTTCTTCTGGACATACTACTGTGTTCTCAAGTAACTTCGTCAGAACTCAGAACAATAGAATCAATTACTAATTATTTCATATCGCAATTCTCAGATCTATTTGGAAACTGAATTTGCAGGACTAAAAGGGTTGGATGGGTGTTGAAATTGCTTGTTCTTCTGTTCTTACCTCTTCCTCTTGTACTATGGCCTGTTGTCGCCATCGTCGGTAGCCTCCTCGGCGGAATAGGTTTTGGGTTTTTCTCTCCGTTAATCGCAACCTTTGAAGTTATTGGCACAGATCACAAAGACAAGTGCTTCCATTGCTTTGTTGTAAGTAGCACTATTATCAAACATCAAAAAATCCCGATTAATGAATTATCATCGATTTCTCTTCTGATTTCTTGCTTCAGGATGGATGTTTTTCTACACTCGAAGGTAGTTGCACTGTGGTTCGAGATTTTACAGATTTTTGCTTCCATTCTTACTTCTCATTCATGGACGATCTCAGTGAAGAAATTCCCGCCGGCGAGAAACCAGTCGACATCAGGTTCCTAAAATGATAAAAATCCAATCTTTCTTATAGTTCTCAACAACACTCAGTTTGTAAAATTCATGGATTTCCGAACTTTTATGATTACATCACAGATTATCCAAATTGCCAAAGAGTTTATTCATCATCCCCATCGCCATCGCCATCGACGTACCTCTGATAACCGGCGTTGCTCTATGTAAGAGTCCATACATGCTGATTATCGGATGGAAGAGACTATTAGAAGACTTGATCGGGAGAGAAGGCCCTTTTCTGGAAACTGTCTGTGTGCCTTTCGCCGGACTTGCCATCGTCTTATGGCCTTTAGCAGTCGCCGGAGCTGTAATCGCATCTCTCTTCTCCAGTTTTGGTCTTGCTCTATATAGCGCCATAATCGTCCACCAGATTTGACCAAAAACCAGAAAACCACCACTAATTCCAAATTCGTAACACAAAGTCGCTAAATCTGCTTTTTTTTCAGGAAGATTCAATCAAGTTTGGATTTGCGTACATCGTGGCTGTGGTTTCATTGTTTGATGAGTACACAAACGACTTGCTTTACTTAAGAGAAGGATCATGCTTTCCTAGGTATATGTATATAAACTATATATCGTCACTACTTTTCAATTTTCATCGTGTTCTTGATGGTTTTTTTTTTCTGGAAATCTTTTCGATTGCAGACCAAGATATCGTGAGAACATGAAAGCATCTGATGGGTTAGAGAGAAGGAATTCAATTGATATCAAGAACGAAAAGGAAAGCTCAAGAGGATCAAGATTGGTTTCACAACGTTCAAAAACTTTGAAACAGGCTCTTCAACAGTACACACCTGTGCAAGTTTGGGATTGGTTGTTCAAGTCATGTGAGGTGAATGGAAGAATACTTTTTCGCGATGGTTTGATAGAAGTTAAAGACATTGAAGAATGTATAGTGAAGGGGAAATGTAAGAAACTAGGGATCAAATTACCCGCATGGTCTATATTACAGTGTCTTCTTGCTTCAGCAAAATCTGAATCTTCGGGTTTAATTATTTGTAAGTTCTGCTAACCATTAGCGACACCCATAATTTTTGTCGCGAAAGACTTTTTGTATGATTTGTAATTGTTGTTTTAGCGGATGAGGTGGAGCTAACGAGGACAAATTTACCGAGGGATAAAGTATTTGAGTGGTTCATTGGGCCACTTTTGATAATGAAGGAGCAAATCAAGGGGCTTGAATTGAGTGAAGATGAAGAGTTTTGTTTAAAAAAGCTTGTGATGAGGAACAAGAACGAGAGACCGGAAGATTGGGATGATACCGGTTTCCCATCCGCGGATCATGTTAGACGAGCACAACTACAAGCTATCATACGACGGTATGTTATATTTCACATCATGTTGAATCAGTATCAGAGTATCAGTCTCAGTCCAATGCATGTTCTGATTCAGTCCAATGCATGTTCTGATTACAGGTTGCAGGGTATAGTGGGTTCAATGTCTAGATTGCCAACTTTTAGGAGGAAGTTGAAGAATTTGGTGAAGGTATTGTATCTCGAGGCACTTCAATCTGGAATTATAGCGAGCCAGGGACAGGGTGGGGGTAGTTCGATAAGTAGGCGTAAGAGTCAGGGTTCGGTTGGAACTGTGGACACGAAAGGTCCAGTCGTGACCCAGGAAGAGAGGCACAAACACAACCCTCAGGTTCCAGAGGATGTGGTATGATTTGTATCGAGTTTAATTTCCAAATCACATGGATGGTGTTTCAGTTGGATGCTCGTATCATTTGTAAACAAAAGGGTAAATTGGTCATTTACTTTCATCGGACAGTCCAAAAAAGAAAGTCGTAATGTATATAACACTTATATAACACTTACTTCAGGCATATTACCTTGAATTTCAACAAATCAGTCCTTTGTCGGCTTTAGTCGGTTTGCTCTTATTACCTTGCAAGATCACTCACCTATCTAGCCCATATACTTTAGCCCATGATCAATTTTATCCTAGTACAATACACAAGCCCATATCACACATAAGAATTGTGAATTGTTAGTGCACCATATGTAAAACAAACATACAAATTATAATATAAAATGATAAAAAGAAACCAAATTGATAAATTTAGGAATAAGATTGAATTATAATGTGGTATTTTAATTCCCTCCCTCAATCTTATTTTCAAATGGGTCAATTAAATTTGAACAAAGACGCTCATGTTGAACTACGTCCAGAGATTTGGGAAAGATATATGCACTATGATCTTATGATAGAACCTTAACAACATTTACAACACTCCCCAATGCTTTATCACAAACAAAATGCACATCAATTTCTATATGTTAAAGTTCGGTGGTGAAATATTGGATTTAGGGACAATTGTGTGGTGAACTCTTATCACAAAGGATTTCCATAGGAGACTTAGAGTGCGAAAATTTTCAAATAAAAATGAAAATTTTGAAAAAGCCGTTTGGTCGATTCATTTTTAAAAAAATTTATATTTTCCAAATTATATAAATTAGAAATTTGATTTTTATAGTTTTCCAAAGTTTTCTAAATTTCGAAAAGAAAAAATGAAAACTTTACTGGTTTCAACCAAGTGTGTTTTCCAAATTTTCATTTAAACTAAAAATGAAAGTTCAACTTTATTTTCTGAAAACCCTTTCTAGAAAAATGGAAATAATTTCCCACAATCAAATACATCATACATTTTATGTGTAAATGTCCTAACAATTTTACCAGACATAACACTTCATAAGTGACTGAAGCAAGTACCTTGTATTTGTAGTATTTGTATTCACGGGATGATATCGATATAGTAGCTTGATGTTTATTTTTATAAGGAATAAAAGTTTCCCAAAAAAAAAAAAAAAAGAAACTTGTTACCATCTCCTTGTGTTAAAACATTTTCCCCAGCATCAATAAAAGCAGTTAATTATTGATAAAGACATTTTACTACTAAAATACTCATTGGAGGGCTTGATTTTAAATATGTCAAAAACCCTCTAAGAAATTTTAACATATAACTTCATCGGAGCATAAAGAATTTGATTGTTCCAAAACGTAAGTTCATTCATCCACGAAGGCAATATAAATAAGATAAAAGCTAAAACAAAGGAAAAAATATTGATGGAATAACTACCGATCAGATAAGATTCCTTTACCCCCCCCCCCCCTGAAGTTGGAGCATGTAAATCTCGAATGTCCAACTTGCCAAGTAACAACTGAAGACGTTGTGACCCTAAAGCCTCTGTGAATAAGTCACCAACCTGGTTTGTAGTGTCAACATGCATGCGTTTGATTTCTTGTGGCTCAACACGTTCACGAACAAAGTAACAATCTATTTCAACATGTTTCGTACGTTCATGAAACACAGGGTTGTTGGCAATGTGTCTAGCCGCTTGGTTGTCACAAAATAAGGACGCAGGTCCAACTGGAGGTACATCTAACTCTTTTTAAAGCCAACGCATCCATAAGATTTCACTAACAGAAGTGGTCATGGCTCTATATTCTGTCTCCGCTGAAGATTGCGAAACAACAGACTGTTTTTTAGTCTTCCACGAGATTGGCGCCCCTCCGAGAAGAAGCAAGTACCCAGTTCGTGACCGCCTAGTGTAAAAGCACCCTAGCCAATCAGCATCACAATAAGTCACAAGGTTCAACCCTCCTTCCTTTGGAAAGAAGACCCCATTGTCATGGAGTGGATTTAAGTAGCGTAAAACACGATTTGCTACATCCATTTGTGTTTGTCTAGGATTAGAAACGAATTGACTCAATATGTTGACTGAGTATGCTAAATCGATTCTGGTTGCTTGAAGATAAAGAATCCTTCCAATGAGCCATCGGTATTGATTAGCATTGATGTGTGCAAAAGTACCTATCAACTCTTAAATTTATAAACCTAACTGCTTATCTACTATGCACCTATAGGAAGTGTACCTAGTCAGTTTATAGTATAGTAAAGTAAGTTGGGTATCGAACATAGGGAATGTATTTAGGTAATTGTTGTGACATGCTCTTTAGGGGGTTGAATGTTGGATGATGGATCAGACCTTGAAGTTTTCCTGAGAACACAACACAGAAGAATCGTTAAAGGACGTCCGGACGTTCTCCCGGGACATCACTCCGACGATCAAATTAGTTTTTTGAGAGAGAGAGTTTTAGGGTAAATTTCGTGAGGAATAAGATGGATCTCCTCATTGAGACGGAAGAGATCCTTTTATACCTGTTAATAACGGATCGTGGGGACATTGTCCAGTGAGTGTGAGACGTGGCCTCCTCTTACTGGGAGAATTACACCCACACTAACTAACTGCCAGGTGACGTCAGTTCTAGGCGTCACCTACGCTTTCTGTCACGTCTTGATTGGTCGTGAGTGAATGAGAAGTTCACGAGGAATATTCTCTGTAACATCCCAAAAATACGGTCTAAAAATTTCACTTTTAATTTATAAATAAAACCATAGTAACCCAAATCATCTCATAAAAACATAGGTGATAGTATCTCAAAAACATCATATCAAAACATTGTATCGAAATCACATATCCAAATATCAGAGTATAAACATCCCAGGCTAAACAAATTGTGTGTGCACTGCAGTCATCCCGAGCTCTTCCCCTTGCTACCGGAAGTACATGAAACCAAAACTGAAAATTGTAAGCACGAAGCTTAGTGAGTCTCCCCAAACTACCACATACCATGCACATAATCACATAACTTGGGCCTTGTCCGCTACATCGGGCCCCGCCCAGCATCGAGCAAAGCTCGGTATACATATGAACATATCAACATATACATAAACAATCATATAACATAAACATATAAACATTCCTCAGGCTTTCCCCAACATCGGACCGAGGTACGGAACATATAAACAAACACATGCAAGAATCACGAAGACATCAAGCATACAAACATTCATTGGGCTTGCCTCGGCATCAGACCAAATTCCGGAACACATAAACATATAAACCTACATCGGGCACTACCCGGCATCAGACCCTAGTCCGGAATCTACTATCACACATAAACGGGCCGAAATTGGTGCCTTAGACCCGTCCCTATCGGAGAAGACTCACCTCGCAAAGATGACTGCTAATCTCACAGTAAGGAATCTCTAACGGCTGCTCCCTCGACTCCCCGACTATCATTACCAAAATGACACTTAGTCAAAGTCCAATAATCCTTCTTAGGGTAAAATGACTATTTTACCCCTGATCTCATTTGGCCCATGACCTAGGTCCAAATCCATAACATGAAGGCCCAATTCAATATAACTTGTCCCAAGCCTACTAATGGCCCACTTATGGCCCATTTTTCTAAATTCGGCCCAACTCCTCAAATGGACCCTTCCATCAAGCCCAACATGTGACATAGTCCATTAACAGCCAAAAAATAATCCAATAGGCCCAAACGGCATAGTCCAAGGGAATGGCCCAAAAGGCCCACTGACTTACGCACATAGGGCGTTCCCTTGTGGAACACTGGGCGTTCCTTTGCAATCCAGTTTGCGGGTCTCAACGGGAACGCAACGCGTTCCCGAGCCTTACGCAAGGCGTTCGCGTCCAGAACCCAAAAACCGGCTATTAAGGACTTAATGATTAAGCCATGCTATCCAAACATAGATCCATGCTACTAGGACCCCTAGAATCATAAAGTCACGGACTTGGTGACTTTGCATGCACCCAAAAGTCCCAATCTCAAGAAATAACAACCAACTTTCATAAAGATAGCCATAACTCTTGCATGAACCCATTAAGACCTCAAAGATGGCAAATTTTCTATCTTAGGGACTCAAATGGCACTAAGGATGACAACCCTAGGCCTAGAAACAAATTTGAATCATAAAGATCCATTCTTGGGACCAAAAGGTCCAAAACATCACTACTCTAGATCTAATCATATTTGAGGAAAGTTGTGAGCTTTATACCTCCAAAGAGTCCCAAATGATGATATCCTGGATCTATGAGCTCAAGATACTCAAGTTCCTCTTCACTAGCTTCTCCTTTCTTCTTTCAAGCTTCTAAACATCACCAAGAACTTCACAAAGCCAAAAACACACAAGGATGAGGGATGAGATGCTATCTAGGGTTTATGATGTTGAGAGGCTGGTAAGGAGGCTGGAGGATGGTACATAATGTTCTTTATATAGGTCCTAAACCCTAAAAGTTATGGTTTGCATTCAGCGCGGGAACGCAGCGCGTTCCTCAGGGGAACGCCCTGCGTTCGGGCTCCGCCTCCATTTTCCTGTTTTTGGCAGAAATGGTCCCTCCTTTCTCCAAACTTAATAATCACAAGGTCCTTAATCAATAATTAAATATATGAAGGACCAAAATGTAAATAATACCTGGACTGGGCGTTACATTTCTCCCCTACTTGAATCAGACGTCGTCCTCGAAGTCCGTCGCCACGAACAACTTCGGGTAATGCTCCATCATCTCCTTCTATGGCTCCCAAGTCCACTCCGAGCCCTTACGGTGCTTCCACTGCACTTTCACCAACTCTACTCTCTTATTCCTCAGATCCTTTGTCTTTTTGTCAAGAATGGCTACTGGTCTCTCAATGTAGTTCAGACTGTCATCAACCTGAATATCCTCTAAAATTACAATTGCGGAGTCATCCACTATGCACTTCCGTAGCTGGGAGACATGAAAAGTGATGTGGATCTGACTGAGTTCTGCTAGAAGATCCAAATGATAAGCAACCCGGACCACCTGAGCCAAAACCATGAACGGAACGATGTACCTGGGGCCCACCTGAAACTCCAAGTCTGAACGGCGTTTGCCGGCATAGCTTTTCTGCCGACTCTGAGCAGTCTGGAGCCTGCTCCGGACCTGCTGTATCCTCTCATTACTCTTGAGTACTACCTCACTACTCCCCATGACTCTCTGACCGACCTCGTGCCAATAGATTGGGGTC